GTAAAATATTTTTTTGTATATTTTTTGTAGATTCACATATTTTTGATGAATACATGTTCCAAATTTCAAATCATTTTGATTTATAGAAAAAAAAAATGAAAAATAAAACACTAGCAGACATCCGTGATCGACTCAGATTGTTCAGTGTTTAATGTAGCGGTACACGAATCAGCGTACCGTAGCATCTTTCATATGGGAAAAGATCCTGCCAGCCCATGGGCCGACTGTTGCAGTAAACGCCCACGACCCAGATTGAATCTGGGCTGATATGACGGTCACGATCTCATTTCGTATTTGAATTTTTTTTTTTTTTTTAACGAATCTAAATTACTTGAAATTTGGAGCGTCTATTCTTCAAAAATAGTAGAATCTAATAAAAATATAAAAAATTAATTTACAAAATATAAATTGATCAAAATACCACCGAAATATTTTGGGGGTATTTTGGTCAATTTATATTTTACGAATTATTTTTTATATATTTTATTAGGTGCGCCTTGATAAGAAGAATGAACGCTCCAAATTTCAAATGATTTGTATTTATAGAAAAAAATTAAAATTCAAATACGAAATGAGGTCGCGACCGTCAGATCGGCACATATTCAATCTGGGCCATGGGCATTTACTATAGCAGTCAACCCATTGGCGTATGGAATCCACTTCCTATATATATATATATATCTTTTTCTTTTTATATATAGAATTGTTTTGTTAGATAATATTTTATAGATGTAAAATAAGTTTTTAACGATCAGATCCGTATTCGGATTTGGATCCCATATATACTTTTCAGATCCAAATCTGGATCCAAATATTTTGGATCCGGTTGGATCCATATCCAAATCCAGATCCAAATGTGATGCACACTTTTCGTATCGGAATCAGGATCCCAGTGGATCCAACCTGATCCACCCCATTCTCTACCCAACCTCAGTCCAAACAACTATCAAGGTCTATGGGGTCTGCTAACTTTATAGCATCAATTGATAATATTAAGCAAATCACCTTCTACTATGCAATTGAGTCCAATATTCCTTTCCTTGATCATTCTTGCCTCTTGAAATAAAGCACAAAATTAGGCCTTATAAGTTGTGGAGATACTGCAAAAGCCACTAGAGTAGAATATCACGTGACCAAAAGAATCCCACGCCAAACCATCAATTTCCCTTAGGCCAAGATCACCTATAGAGCTTCCATCAAAATTAAATTTAAGGCGGTCTCCATCTATCTAAAGGCTTAACCTTAAAAGAAAAAAGATCGAAGAGGTTCTTAAAATTCAAAATAAGATACACTTTAGAGATCCCATAACCCTCCTTTGTTGAAAACGAACTCCAAAGATTATGCAGAAGCTTACTTTTGACACCCTCAATGCTCGTTAAAGAGCCCTCAATTTGTATTCATTCCAAAGTTCCCATAGGATGGAGGCTATGAAAATCTTCCAAATGATCCGACCTTTAGATGGTAATCCTGGAAGATTCAATTAGAGTAAGATTTGATGATGACTAGAAGGCAGCATCAAGCAAACATCTTAAGATTGAAAGCCCAACTCCAAAGCAATGACGTGAAAGGATAATGCAGAAGCAAATATTCCCCCGTTTTTTCATTCTCCTTGCAAAGCAAATATACATTCACCATCACTTTTCCCCTATTTCAAAGATTATCTAAAGTCAATACTTTCCTTCACAAGAGAACCTCGAATAAAAGCTTGAATCTTACGCGGGACGGGCATCTTCCATACTTGCTTAAGATCTGGTTCTATGTCTCTCCAACAAATATGATAGGTTACCCGGCATGCTGACTTAAACATAAAAGAGGCCATCATTCTTGACCTTCCATACAATCTCATTGCCAACATGTTGGGCAATATATACTGAATTCAGTTCTGCTAGCAAAGTAATAAACTGCTGGAAGACTATCTAAGGCACCCCATTTGTATGCACAATCTGTTGGGTTTATGTGGCCTTTAAAGGCTTTATGAGTGCTTGTAAAATGAAATGATATAGTAGAACATGAATTCAGTGGGAGTGTGTTCCCTCGTGGATTATACTAAACAAACGATGGTTTGCTGATACCGATCTGTGCTTAACTATCTAGGCCAGTCGGTTGAGAAAAAACCATATTACTTGGGTATGAAGAACAAATCGATGAGGATTTATGGGTTAGCCTTTGATGAGGTCGGAGAACATGCCGGGATGAGTGAGCCGAGGGATTGTGTGACCCTTGTGTGTGATGGTGGCCTATAGAGACAGGGGCCAAAACCTCATCCATGTACTATCACACAGCATATATATCGATAGATCATTCGGAAAAGCTAGAAATCCACCTTTTAGGGTGAAGCGTATGCATGGGCGAGAGATACCCCTATGCGTCATAGAGCTGTGGTCGCATAAAGTCTTGGTGACCTGACTTGTCTCTAGGGGAGGACCTGAAATATACAGTCCGGGATTACGATCCCTTGGCTCATCGGCTGGACTTTGGTGACCCGCTAATTAACCCCTGTTTGGACTGTGGGTCATGAAAAACACTGGGTCAGTCTGATAAAGCAAGTGTGGTCTGTAGTCCACAATTGAAGGTGGAGTGCCACATGATTGTTGATTCCTAAACCATATGGATCGTTTTCCCATCAAATTAATTTAATTGTATTTGTTTTATGATGAAAATTATTTTAATATTATTATTTGAATTTTTATGAACCCCTGGATATTTTATTTATAAGTTTTGGATTTATAAAATTAAATATATTGATGTTACAATTGTTTAAATATTCAAATAATATTCTAAAATATTTTTATTAATTTTAAATATATAAAAATATCATGGGGGCCTATTGTCCACATGGGCCCGCGATATTTTTAGAAGGTGGGGCCCATGAGTGCCTCCCTTGGGTGGCATGCCCCACCCTTATTCTTTTTCCTATTTTTGGTGATATAAAGTGTGGCCATATGGTTGGAAGATATTGATTAAATATTGACTTGATATATCTTTGAAAGTTTTTATAGAAAGATTGAGTAGACTTGTGCTACTTTATGGTATGCACAATATTTTGTTTAGATTTAATTTATTTAATTTCTATTGATGAGAAAGTGGTTTAGGAAGGGGGATAATGGTTCGTGCACCTTCCATAATGTTGATGGCCCATCTCTAGAATGGATGGCTCAGATCTCTCACCCCACAAGTCACCCTTGATCGTCGGTCTATGTTCAATCTCACAAGAAGAGGCAAGCTAAAGAAAACCCTAAGAAACCCTAATCATATAAAAATTGATTGTCTCTAA